TTTTTCAGTAAACGGTGCAGAGAGAACATCGTTCTCCGCTGCCTGTAATTAAGGTATATCATCAATCACAGACTCATCAAGAGACACCGTGGAAGTATTCGGAGGTCCAAAAAAGCTTTTATAATAGTTGGAAATATACGCTTTCAGATTTTCATGCCCCACTATTGTCCCCTCGTCCCGTTCAAGCTGTCTATAGGCTTGTTTTACAGGGTTTATCGTACAGACTGATGTGAAGCAAACTGATCGGCTTAGGATAAGCAGCAGGGGCCCCACCCCATGAAACCAGGGGGAGCGAATTAGCGAGAGGGGGTCCATAATAGACGCGTAAAACACCTGTACGCCTAGGATTATTGCCTCTAAAGTTCAGTGGTTCAACTTTATTATAGACACGCGCATCAGCGAAGCTAATGACTAGAGCGAAAACACACAAAAAAAAAGAGCCTGGGAAGACTAGGCTCCGAAAGCTCAGAATTTTCAGCAGCACCCAGCGAGGCAGTCGCTTCACAACACTGAACGATATGACTATGTCACTGAGGCATTGAGCTATAAATGTCGTCGTGGAAGGTGATAGTTGGCGTGATGGTACTGGTGCTGTGGTAAAAGGCAACGCGAGGACATTTGTCAGGCAAACATAGGAATCGATCGCGCACTTGAAGAGAGGATCAAGAACGAGACGTCCCCGACAACAAACATGGTGGTCCCAAAGCCCCGTGGTCGATATTTCAAAACTCAGAAGGGGTGCATAGCAAGCGAAATTTCGAAGGGTCACGTAGGTGCAGGAGGAAAACATCTCCAGCTGTTGATCAGCGTCGTGATCCAAGTAGATGATCCGGCGGAAATTGGTTGAAAAATAGATGCAAATACTTAACCGAATACTAGGCAGTATAGGCGTCTATTCTGTATAAATACTTTCGTTGGGCGTCTTTCTATTTGTGTATATGCTACATCCCGTTCTGTTAGGCCAACTCCAACGCCCGATCCCAAACGGACGTCGTTTCGTCCGCTTTTCATCCGGTTCGGGATGGCAATGGGGTCGAGTTTGGCCGGATTTGTGGATGTGGTGGCCGTGCGTCCAATGCGCACGGCCGCGCTGCGTCCCGTTCGCATGCATTTTATTTTTGCAAACACATATCTTTTATTTTCTTCATTGATTTGTGATACATGAAAACACATCACCAAATCTTGACTAGAATAGCAAGACCAAAAAAACAAGAACCACAAAAAGACATTTTAGAAGATATGCAACTTCCACAGCTGCTCCCGTAAGTTGGATTTGTGCCTTCTCAACACATTCATTGTTGATCTGTGGAGGCTCGATCTTGCGTACTCTTTCTTCTTCGAGTCTAAAGAAATAGGCGTTGCTTCCTCGCATCTAGTCTCACCTCTAGCATCTAGTTTAGCAACAAGTGCACTAGTCTCATCTCTAGCCTCCATTCTAGCTTAAAGTTCACGGACATCTACTAAATTGCACTCTATCAATATATCGATGTATTCTTCTTCCCAATACAAAAGTTGTATCCACTCTACACAAGAAAAATTTAAGTTAGTACAACTTGTCAAATTCGAGAGCATAACCGAAGCTAAGTAGCACATACCCCATCGTCTGAGCACTTGATGAACACCCATCTGGGATGTTCCGGCGTCGTAGAAACGCAGTGCAAGACCTTCTTCGGGCAGTCGTCGCACTTAACGAGTGGCAATGGTGCGTTGACAAGCTTTTGGGCTAGCACCGTGCCCGGCCAACGGCCGTTCGTGTATCTTCTGGCAAACCGCCGACAGTGTAGATCTGAGCGACTAGAGGCGGAGTCAGTACCTGCATGCGGCCTTGGGCCTTGCCGTGGCCTTCTGGCTCGGTGCCCGGCCAGTCCATGGCACGAGCGTCCTTCATCAGCCGGGCAAGCTCAAGTCCGGCCGGATCAGCTCCAAATTCGACGAGAGCGCAAATCAGGTGGTCGTGGTTGGGTAGCTCGGGGCGGC